GGATTGGGGTTTTGCTAGCTCTAAATTTATTTAAGACCTAATTTCCATCCCTGACCTGTTAAGACTGATTCCCAGGAACCGAAATTTGCAGCGTTCACAAAGCTCTGCTTATTGCCTTTGACATAATGGTCATGCAAACTAAATAGATAACCACTCACTCAAATGCCTCTCAACCCAATACTTTTATAGTAAAAATTCTGAATTTTACAAGGAGGCACACTTACAGATTTTTTACATGGTGCAAGATATTCTTAAAACATACTTCAAAATTCTTAATTTGTCCATTAGTCCTAATACGTTGGAAAGGATATAAAATTCAAAGATGGTTTAAGTCCATCCTCCAGTGCAGTTAAATGATACATGAGTAATCCTTTCCTCTTCATAAATTTTGAATGGATAAATAAATATAACAAGTGTCGCTCATTGTCACAAAGCAAAGTAAAATCAAATGTTACTCCAGAAGCCCTTGGCTCATAGTGTGCTATGTATCCAATGCCTCTACAGAAATTAGACAAATAGAGAAAAGCTAGAAAGAACCAGGTATTACTCACATGGTGCAGAAAATGTCTGCTGACATATACTACTCATTGTAAAAAGGAAAAAATTGTTTATAGGTACATCTGTGCAAAGTCTGGAATATAGATATTCTGGAGCTCAGCAGTTTTTCATTCAATATTCATCCTAAAGCCTTCTGATATATGGATTTTATGCTGTTTCTGGGCAGTTTTATATCAGATGGTTGTAAAGACTGTTAGACTTAATAATAACAGTAAAAGTTATAAGCATGTTTAAAACTCGATTGATGTTTCAGTATCTTTAACTGCATCATTTATCATAATAAGATGTTTATATTTCATCCTTCTGAGTTACCAGTGGTGAAGCATCAATTTATCTTTTTGTTCTGATCATGACACTGGTTGGTAACGTTCCATGAATAGTATTTATTCATTCTGTAAAACTGTGTTATTTTCAATACTCCTCTAAATAGTATATTTTAAATTTAGCAGAAAGCTTTACCCCTAGAAAGTAATCATTGCAACACCCCAGGAGCATTCCCTCTTCCTAACTTGGAATATCTCACTGCCTCTGCTTTGAAGTATAGTGGTGATTTCTAAACCATTGCTGACACTATAAAATGACTGACTGGGTGGCTCCAAGACCCTCACACCAAGATGTAAGAGGTACTGCCTGTGTCCAGGACAGTGACACCCTGGAACAGGAAATCTACCACTTGAACAATAAACAACGGGTGGGAAATCAACATTTGACATTAAGCAAAGGGTGGAAGGAGGAAAGCTAAGTTCATATAACATTTTCATTTTGATTTCAGATTTCTTCTCTCAACAAATCTAACATAACTTGTATTTACATATATTCCGTGCATCCCTCATCAAATAAAATTCTGGAAATATAGGGTACTAAAGATGTCTCATGATACACCAATGTATTTATACTCTGTAGGATCACATGTATATTTGTTCTGGAAACTAAGGCACAATATAATCCCTGAAGGCATATAAAAATGCAGCTACTAACAGCTGATTCCACCTACTTGTAAGCCATTTAAGTTGCATATTTTGATTGCTGCAATGAAAGCAATTCTATTAATAAAGTCAAACTGCTGTGAATCAAGCTAAAATAAGTGAAAACTGCCTTAAAGTAAGGAATATGATTGAATTACTGGTTTTATGGGTTTTCATCAATGAAGCCCAACAAAGGAACCTACAGTCATCTGATGCACAGTGTTACAGAGGGCAGAGAAGGAACAAGCATATAGTATATTACTGTATCGTCACTTCTGTACACAAAGTACATATTATAAAATTAATTTCTTATTGCTTTCCCAAATTTTTCTAGATTGAGAACATTCTTGTATGAAATAAAAGGCAGGTAAGAACCTAAAGAGAGAAGAAAATTTATCAAGCAGTCAGAATTCAAAGTTTTATATTAGTTTTACAATTTTTAAACTCACTACTTATGGTGTAATCCCTCTCTCTAACCCAAAGTGACTGGGGAATAGATTAGAGCCACAGCATTCTCACCTTACTGCTGGGGAAAGAAGAAAGTGCACTTTCACATAAAATGTATTTGATCTACTCTGGAAACTCTTTAGACAGTTCAATTTATTAATATTCCCAAAAGTTAAATCTGCTTATCAAACATGTTTTCTTCACATATGCTATTTACATCCAATAACCAAAAGTATTAGAATGCTCTACTATAAGTAATATTGAACATACCATAAAAACACAAAGGAACTAGAAACTATTAATTTTCATAAGATAAAATTAATCTGTATTAATGGTAGGAACTAGGTATCTTTCCTGTAAGGAGGCAAACAGAATTAAACAATTGTACTTACACAAGGGCAAGGTTTTACTGCATCACTTGGGAAGAATCCAAGCTCTCCTGTTGTTAGATTTCTACCCTAGAAAAAAGAACCACAAATTTTTCCATTTTTGGGACATAATTGGGATTAATAGTAAATACTAATACATCCACAGGGATTTAGGACAGCAAGTATATCCAAGAATATTTAAAATGAAATGCCATTCTAATAAAGTGTTGCTCAACAGTTGTGTGGGGTTTGTTGTTATATAGTCGGTATTTTTAATATAATTAAGTAATAATTACAGCTGATAGACCTGAAAGCTCTACAAGATAAGTGGCAAGACGGGAGCTCAGAGACTGGGATTTGATTCCCAGTTCTGTCAATGCCTGTCAGTGTCTGATGTCTTCACTAATGTTAATTATCTGCTTGCAAGTTACTTTCCCCTCAGCTGGCAGTCCAGAGAAAGCTACCACACTACAACATTACAGATCCCCAAAATGAATACACTACCACACAGCAGCACTTGCAGCACCTGAGAGATGAAGCCAATTCCAGCAGAAACTTCAGGTTAATAATCCAACAGCCAATTCAGATGCTAAGTTAAGGGTTTTTGTAAGTGATGCAAATCATTGGAAATGGGGTGGGCATGAGAATAACAGCAGAATTAAAGACTAACTCTGTCTATGATACATTCACAGCATGTAGATGCAATCACACAACTGGCACATCAGCTGCAGAAATGCATCCGGCACAGCCTAAACTGAGCCATGCAACCCAACTGCTGCCCTCCAAAGCTGCAGGACCACCCAGTTACTCTGGGCTTCTAAGCACCAATCAGCAGCTCACAACTCAACACCAACCAAGCTCTCCTGAAGAACACCACCTCAGCCAGACAAAACAAGAAAACAAAATCACCTTTCCAGTCCTAGTAAATAATTGGCTATGACCATTTTGACCACGTTTCAGAGCAGAACAGAGCACGTTTCGAAAATTTCTGAATGCAGATATATAAGATGGAGGCACTGAAATGTGTATTTTGGCAAAAAAATGTTTTCATTTCACAGATTTTTAAAAACATGTAAATGCCTAACCACCATTAAATTTAATATACTGACTCTAAGCATAATATACTCTCAGCATTTGACAATGAGAAAGAGTACATTAACAGCATTATAATAATGAAGATTACTTTCTTTATTTTTGATGGCATACCTGCAACTTAAAAAAATTAAAAAGGGAAAAATCTTTAGCAACAGCGTGGAATTACTTTGGGGTTTTAGTTCATTTTGTTTCAGTAACACTAAACGTATAATTGTACCCTAATACCACCACAGAAAACAGAATTCAGCAAATTCATATGAGGGGAGATGAATGTAAAAAAATTAAGAGGTTTATGAAAAAATAAAAGCATCCTTTGATTGGTGCTACCCTAAGCACAATAAATGAGTGCATCATTCTCCCAGGGACATCACTATGCAACTTATCACACAGAGCAACTGCCATCTTTGCCAAATATACAGCAGGTAGGCAGCATTTAAGCTAAAAATGTTTTATAGTGATGACATTTAAAAAAGAATGATATGCAAGCAAGTCACAACCTTACAGATTTGAACCTGTCTTCAGAAAGCTACCTTGCACTCTTTCAATATTATATGCTTGAATACTGGTTATCCTTTCCATCCATGTGTTTTATTTACTCCTGAAACACAAATCCCTCTGATGTATAGACTTAATTTTTAAGCACATCTCTGACACAACCTGCCATCTAGGTGATGCTTATTTACAAGACTAATCATACCTGAATAGCAAGTGGTATCACACTGAATTAAACCAGCCACTGAATAAAACATACTAATGTCTATCAAAACATGTCTCACCACATTTAAGTTGTAGCTTAAGCACAGCATAGTAACTTGTGTTGTTCATCTGATGCAATGTAGCAAGTTAAAAAATTATACCTTAACCACACATACTGTTCTATTACAAGCACTTGAATTTCTAAACTGAGCAATGGTCAACTTACAAATCCATTATAATATTAGCCTTGCAGGTCAGCTGTAAATGACTATAAAAGGCCTCTTGAATAATCACAGATTTTAATACAAATTATGTTTTGCAGGTTTTTTTCTTAATATGCATTTTAAAATGCAGATGTCATTAAAAGACTTTGGAAAACCTGTATTACACAGTCAGTGACAAGAAAGAAAAAGAAACTCCTGAATGATGTTAATGGAGATGACAATTTCCATTAGGATACAAATCTACTACTAAAGCTTCTGGGGAAAAAGCCTCACAGAGTTTCTGGTTTCTGCTAGTTAAACATAGTGAGATTCTAGATAAATCCTTTAGCATGATAATCACAAAAAACATCTAAGACAATTTCCAGTAGATAAAGTTGATGGATGTGTATGAACATGACAATAGAATCAGTCCCACGAGATCCCAACAATTTTGGCTTGTACTAATTGTATTAGTCAGATGATTACCTTCTAGACAGTGCCAAGTCAAGAGCAGGCTTAAATGTTTCTCTGGATCAGAACTCTACACCCTGTAGAACCAATCCCTACATACAAAACTACATAGGCAAAAATCTGTCCAGCAGCAGCGTTCGGAGTGATTTATTTTAAGTGACAAAAAATACCCACAGTCTGCTAAGTAACAGGTTGGAGGGGTTTGGAGGGGAGTTGTTTTGCTTGTTGGGTTCAGATTTTGGAGGGAGAAGAGGCTGGGGTGGTTGGATTACAGCTACTTCTGTATTTTACAATAGATAAAGCAACTCTATTGTTTATTAGTTCCCCCAATTAAATGCTGTTCAGGATGAACAGTGACATAGGAAGAGTTAACTGATCCAGACCTGAAGAGCTGGGAGTTCAATCCTAAATGTATCCATAAAAACAAAAACAAAATAACCAAAGCAAAAAAAACCTAAAAATTATGACCTAGCTCCCATAACAGACCAAGCAGCTTTTATATAATATTCATTAACTTATTATAGCCTCAAAGAAAAAAGAAAATCATGAAACCAAACACAGGAACAATTCAAGACAACAGATGCTTCCCAGTTGTTCTATTAATATCCTGAAAGTTCTTCTATTTAGCTCTACTTCCATGTATCCAATAATACAAGCAATTAAGAAAACAATCAAGAACAAAGAAACATACTTTAATGCATTTATCACTTAAGTGAATGCAAGTCAGTATTTTTGATGCTTATAGTTCTCAATTAAGAAGAAATCTCTGTAACAAAAGTAGTGATGTGAATCACACAATCACCAATTTTGCCATCAATAGAATATACCTTTCCTATGCACATAAAAACCCTGTCCTTAACTGACTCTAGATGGCATTAAGAATTTTAGGCATGGTTCTGTTTTGCAGAGCTATTTCTCTGCCCTATAAATCTAACAAGGTTTGTCAACATATCTTTTAGTTCTGCTGTTACAGAAGCAACAACCAAGAAGTCACAGAACTTGCTGTTTGTGCCAAACACTCTCCTTAACTCTTATAATTTCACTAGAAGGATTGCCACCAATGTCACATTTTTGCAAACAATTATTCACTGGGACTTTTACTCTAAGCTTCAAGAATGAAGCTTTACACCATAGAGGAAATACTGGCAATTTAAAATAAAAACAGTTTTATTTGGGTAAATCACAAAGATTTTTTTGTTGTTCAAGAAGAAAAACCTTACAAGAGCAATATATCAATAGGAAGTTAATATCTGGACTAACAGAACATAGTCACTTGCTAAATGATACAGTACCTGCCAAAATAAGCTATGTGCATCTCCCCTGATTAGTTCAATAGTGTCCCCAATCTGGATATGCAGTGGTGGACCATCTTGAGCTGCTGGCTGTGGTATTCCACTGTAGTTTCGAATTACCTGCATTTTTGGTAAACCTAAACACACAAACATACACACACACAAAAAAAAAAAAAAAAAAAAAAAAAAGGGGGGGGGGAGAAAGAAAACAAGTCAGAATCTATTTTTAGTTACTGACAATTTATAAAATCTGAAGACCACAAAAGCAATTGAGCAAAGCAACAGTGGCTTTAATAGATACATGACTACTTAGTACTAACCATGCACAACCTAATAGAAATTAATTACTTTGGAAAAACATTTGCCCTTCTTTCTTCTTGAAGTAAAGTTGATATCATCTCTATAGAGACTCTTTCCTCTACATGTACATCCCTGGCTCTGTATAAGGTTCAAATATTAAAGCTATCTTTGTAGTTCAAGGCAAAAATTGTAATGAACTAGCATTAAAGGCACCAATATAGATCAGTATTACCAAAACCCTACTGCTGATGGGAGAATGTCCAATAGAGTAAGGATGACAATGGATGACAATTTTACTGCACTATTTTTACTGCTAAGGAAAGTATTTAATATGAACTGATCTATTTTTAATTATTTTCCCTCTATCTTTAAATAAAACTTTTTATATATCAATTGTCCTGTTTTTCATCGAACACAGGATGGTAAAAATCACTACCATTAAGTGGGTGTATCAGTTTAAAATCTTAAGCAGAAAGTTTTTGGTTAAGTAAGATTTTGTAAGAATGTGTATTAAGAAATGCAATTAACAGTGAAAGCATGCAAAGTCAAGGATACTGAGCTGCCACATTTAATATGTCTCTTGCTGAAGGGTCATGATTAACTTAATTCTAACAACAAAGGATCATCAGGCCCATAAAAGACCTATTTCTGTTGCAAGATCACTACTGTAATTTAGGTGGCAATAAACACAAATATCCATGATCTCCTCTAAATTGTATGGAACATAAAAGAAATCACCTTCAATAATTACTACTCTCTGCATTAACGAATAAATACTAATCCCAAGTGCTGATGAAACATTGAGCAAAGTAATACCAGCTCTTATGTTACTCAACCCAAACCCATAACTTTTACTATTTCTGTAAGTTATCTGGCATGCTTAAAATGAACATCTAATTATTAGTAAGCCATTATTCCACTTAGGCAAATATTAGAAGTCGCTTTGTTTTTCAAACGAAGGCTGTCAGGCTTTCAAATACTGATTCAGCACCAACAAATGCTTCATCCACTGCATGGCAAATAAAAGCAATGCAGCAAACAAGTATCTACTCAAAATATAAATGATAGTTTTACATTTGTGATGAACAAATTGTAAGCATGCACTTGTCTTAGAGACATGCTTGGAAGTCAAAACAAAGGCACAAAAATTATTCAGTTATGAAACCTTGTATTGGGTGAGTTAGTTTATCATATTCTTAGTGTGCAGATACTTAAAACCCCATCCTTGTACTCATCTTATCAGAAGATGATCAAAAAATAATCACGACTTTTCAAGTGCAAACCCTGGTGGGTTTTTTAAGATACTGAACTGGTGAAATTATTAAATGTAAGCATGAATAAAATTACTTTTTATTTCTATTTCACTGGTAATTATGATTATTGGCATCTCTGAAAACCAGGCCAAGAGAACATGAGGGGAAAAAATAATGCTTTGTCAACTAGCAGAACTGTTCAAAAGGTAACACAGAATTAATCCTGTTAAAACATATCATGCCTGGAATACTTGTGTATAATTCAATATGCTTAGTTCTGTAAAATCTGACAGCAATTTTGATTACAAAATTACCTTGGCAGATAAAACATTGGAAGATTTCATCTAACACCTCTTGGCACCACTAGAAATAATCCTATTCATTTAAACAGGCTTTTGGGTTACAGCATTAGTGTTAATGGAGTTGATCATCTTATTTTAGATCCCTTCTTAAAACTTGTTGTAATGCCTACAGAAAGCATCTCTCTCAGCTGGTCTCTACTATGGTGACCAACAAAACTTATTTTTCTACTATAATTTTTTTACTTACTCTTGTCCAATTATTGCCTTTGGTCTACTTAGGAGTTCTTTGAGCTCAGAACTGTCTTTGCTATGAGTACACACTGCCTAGCACAATGCATATACATGATCACCAGACTTACAAAAACCAGCACCTGGAATTCATGTCTATGATCCCAATACATTGCAACAATATAGAACAACATTGCAATATCACTGATTACTGGTTTATTTTCATTCAGCCCCTGAAGTACAGATACTGCATGCCAGCTTCAAGGCCACTGAGGAAAAAATGCATGTATAAATAAGGCAAATTATTTTTTTGTGCTAATTACTTAAGCACGTTAGATTGGACTCAGATTCTGAAAAGCACTTTATACCTCACAGTAAAACAACTGAAGGCAAATTGACTCTCCAACAAGAGAAGCATCAGTGTCACTGAGAAAAATGTTCATTTCAGTATCAGCAATACCAGAGATGTATAGATACCCTGTATCAATCAAAGATATAAAAGCAGTGAGTGCACAACTAATGTGTTCTACACATTGTATCAGAAGGACCTGTCCCTGTTATATTTTACATGTTGGGGTTTTTTTTTAAATCAGCTTTTCCAGGAACAAAAGACTAAATGAAATCTTTGAATCAATCAATCAGAAACAAGCACATACTATTCTGGACTAGCTACATTTTCCATGGGTGAGTCTTCTTTTCACAGAATTTCCCTTATATCACCATTAAGCACAGAAGAAATAAACGGGGTAAAGAAAAGTTTATAAACTGAGGTAAAGAGTCCAAGAGCTCCAAACAGAATACTCAACTTGCTTTTCACTATGTAATTACAGATTTGAATATAAGGTAGCTCAGAGTTTAGCAGATTAGCATTGAGCTGGTGTACATTTAATTGGACAGAAACTGATCAGCCTAACATACACAAAGTACACTGGGGTGTGATGGATCAGGTCTTATCCAGCATTAACACAGGAACTATCTTAAACAATCTATCAGTTGTTTAGCAAGCTTATCCTAAAACTAATTTGCTCATTCCTACTGTTCATTTTACAACCCTGTTATCTTAGCATTTAGAATTGTGCTGGCTTTGGCTGGGACAGAGCTAAGTTTCTTCATAGTAGGTTGTATGAAGCTATCTATGGTTTGGATTTGTGATGAAAACAGGGTTTGCTTGCACAGCATTGAGGCCCTCTCTGCTTCTTGTACCACCCTGCCAGAAGGCTGGGAGGGGACACAGCTGGAACAGTTGACCCCAACTGAACAAAGGGATATATGCCATAGCATATGACATCATGCTCAGAACATAATGTGAGGGGAAGGAGGAGGAATGGAGAATGTTTGGAGCGATGGCATTTGTCTTTCCAAGTCGCCATCACACATGATGGAGCCAGGCTTTCCTGGGGATGGTTGAACACCTGCCTGGCCAGGGAAAGTAGTGAATGAATTCCATCTTTTGCTTTTGTGTGGCTTTTGCTTTACCTGTTAAACTGTCTTCATCTCAACCCATGAGTTTTCTCACTTTGAGTGAGTGGCTGCACAGTTAAATCACAAGAGTCTTCTATTTCTCTGTGCAAATTAGTGCATGGCCAACTAAGACCCACCTAGATGCAGAAGCCTGCATAGTTCTTTTCTTTGTCTGCATTTATTCTCATACTACAGTTAGAGAGCAATCATACCCCTATTGACCTTCATTTCGCTAGGCTAAACGAGCCAAGTTCTTTAAGCTTCCTCTTATAACAGATCAATTCCTCTGAGGCAGTATACCAACTGCTTTACAGAAGTTCAGACAGACAAGATCTCAAATATTTTCCTTGCCTATCTTGACATTTCATTTTTAATTGGCACATGGATTCATAACAAATATACTCATTAAGAATCCTGAGCAGATCCTGTAATATAATAATGCAGACTAGAAAAAACAGTGTTACAGAAGTCTGATATGTTTTACGTGCAACTATGGATTATTTGTGACAGAAACAGTACAGAACCATGATGCATTAATGATTAAAATGTGAAATATGGTAAGCATTAGAGACACTGCCATTGTGATGTACATAGCTGCAGTACTGAGAGTAACTGACAACTGCAGAAAATTTGTGGAAACATATCTGGCACGAAGATGTTATTCACGAATATGTTCAAAACCAGATAAAATTCCAACATAAAGGATAGGGTCAGGATTTCATCCATGCATTATTATCATTTATGTTAAAAAAAACATTGGCTTCCATTAAGTCAGATTTCCACATGACAAAGTTTTTAATCAGGAAACTTTCTAATTTAAAGATACAAAAAGAGATCAACAGTTTCTAACCTTGAAATCAAAAAGAAAACTCATCCAGCTATTAACACCAATAAACAGCTGAAATTTACTTCACTTGAAAACCAGGAAGAAAACTCAGATTCCTAGAAAAGTCCACATAGCTAAGTTCTGGGTCACAGAGCTCACATAAATTGATGATCTAAATAGTAGCTCATGAGAGAAACAGAAAGCATGATAGAGTCAAGATTTACAAAGCACCAATTTGGCTACATTCCAGAAAAATGAAACCTGTCATAAATGACACCACATATTTGAGTATTTCATTTCAATAATGAGTCAAGGAAGGAGGTTACATTTTAAAGTTAACATAGTACATAAGTTAGAACACCCATCATACATGAAATGAAAAGAACACAAACTACTTGTATTCCTTCCAGCAGTTCTGCATTTATGAACAGCATTTAAGTTAGAACACCCACTATACATGAAATGAAAAGAACACAAACTACTTGTATTCCTTCCAGCAGTTCTGCATTTATGAACAGCATTGAATGACCCTCAGAGTTTCATGTAGAGATTCAAAAATGTTCTTTTTTGTTAACAACATGCATAATGCATGCCCTGTGATGACCTCTATCTGTCAAAACTGATTCCAGCATCTGTTATTTCCAAGCAACACAGAATGTGGTTTACACTTCGGACAGGCATCATTTTAGCATACAAAACAATGACACAGCATATAGGAGAGCAGGGGTCAAAGGTGAATTTGTGGATATACTATTAGCACAAAGACA